CCGCTGCTGCTGCTGCTGCTGCTGCTGTTGCTGCTGCTGCTGCTGTTGCTGTTGCTGCTGTTGCTGCTGCTGCTGCGGTTGCTGCTGTTGCTGCTGCTGCTGCGGTTGCTGCTGTTGCTGCTGCGGTCGCTGCTGCGGTGGCTGAGGCGCTGCGCGGCGCTGCTGCTGACGACCGTGCTCGCTTCGCTGCTGCAGCAGCAGCTGCTGCTGCTGCTGCCAGGGCTGCTGCTGTTGCTGCTGCGGCGGCGGCTGCTGCCAGCTCCGCAGCTGTAAAGGATCTGCAGGCGCGCAGCAGCAACACACAATTCATCTTTCTGCTGCTAATTTTGCTGCTGCTGCTGCTGCTGCCAATACTATTGCTGCTGCTGCTGCTGCTGCTGGAGGCTTTCCGTACCAATTCTGTGGTGGCTGTCAGCTCCCTATACACCTCAGCGCCCTTCTGTGGGTTCAGGTCCTCGCGCTGCTGCTGCTGCTGCTGCTGCTGCTGCAGCCACGATTGCAGCGGCGGAGCGGCACAGCAAGTAGGCAGCTGCAGCTGCTGCGAAAGCTGGAGGTGCCCCTTCGGCTGCTGCTGCAGCAGCTGCTGCATCTCCTGTGGGTATTCCTGCAGCAGCAGAGCAAGCAGCGAGCCACTTTCTTCTGCTGCTGCTGCTGCTGCTGTATCTGCATCTGCGTCGTAGACCTGCGTGAGCGGAGCAGCATCTGCTGCTTCTGCGGCTGCTTCTGCTGCTGCAGCAGCAGCCTCGTCTGGTGCAGCAGCAGCAGGAGCAGCGGCTGCTGCTGCAGCGGGAAAGTAGGTAGCAGCAACGAGGTGCCGCAGCAGCAGCGGTAGCAGCTGCAGCTGCTCCGAAGGCTGGTCATACAGAAGCTCAGCAGCAATTTGCTGCTGCTGCAGCTGCTGCAGCATCCTCCTGGAGACGCAGAAAGAAGCTGCTGCTGTTCGCCCGAGGGCAAATTCTGCTGCTGCTGCTGCATCGCGTGCTGCTGCAAAAGAGGCTCTGCAGGCCTCTGAGTATGCTGCTGTTATTGCTGCTGCTGCTTTTGCTGCTGCTGCACTATAGGCAGGAAAAGCTACAGCAAGGCTGCCAACGAGGCCGCTGTAAGGCAGCAGCCCTCCCTCTGACTGCTGCTGCTGCTGCAGACTCTGGTGCCGG